GTGTGAGAGAGTAGACAGTGTCTTGCTGTATGTCTGAGCTGTTGCTGGCCATTCTGCCCTCTGCAGCTTGCTAGCCCCTGTGGCCCGGATGGAGTCAGTTCAGCGTCGGGCTCCCCCATCGTATGGAGAGCTGATCGCACAGGGGGCTATCCCCCCCCTGGAGGACTTCCCCACTGAGAACCCCAACGATGTGAGTATCTCAGTACCTATAGGGGAGGGGGCCAAGAGAGAGAAGGGAACGGGAACGGGAGGGAGAGGGAGAGAGATGGGGCGGAGGGACAGAGACGAAGAGGGGGAACGGAGAGATGACGGCGAGGGAGAGAGGGGACGTGGTCAGGGGAGAGAGGGAAGGGGAGGGGGGAGAGGGAGGGAAGTGATGGAGGGGAAGAGAGAGGGACAGGGACGGGGGAGAGAGAGGGAAGTGGAGGGGGGGAGAGGGAAGGCGGGGAGGGGATGTGAGGGGAGAGGGACGCGAGGAGGGGGATGCGAGCCTGACACTGATTGACTGACCCCGTTCTCTCTCTCTCTCACCCCCCCCCCACCCCTCGCTGACAGAACTCGGTCCTGGGGAACCTGTTGTCCCTTTGGCAGCTCCTGAGGCAGGAGGAACCTATCACAGAGACACAGAGACCCAGGCGCCATCGCCGTCGCCGTTACCGTTACATTCGCCGCCTGTACCGTCACCTACGCCAGAGCCGCCTCTATACCCTCCTCACCCATCCCCGGGGGGTGAGAGGGGGCTACAGCGGGTCTACACCGCCCCAGCCCGAACCCTCCGCCCCCACCGTCCCCAACCCCCTCCCCAACAAGTTCCCGCTGCTGGGCTCTCAACCGCTCCCCGCCCAACCTGAGGCGGGGGTCTCGGGGAGCCCCGAGCCCGCGTCCCCTGGGGACCTCCTCCTGGTCCCCCTCTCCCACAGTTCGCCTCAGGACCCCGGCTCCGACCCCGGGGCATTCCCCAGCTGACCCCCACCCCCCCACCCACCACCGCTCCCTGGCACCGTAGGGTTGTGGGTGGAGGGGTGTGAGCAGACCTTTCTGACCCCCTCCCACCCCCACCCCCGGAGCGTGGGGGATTAGGGATGGGTTGGATACGTGTGGAGGGTGGTACCTGAGAGACAGAGAGGAGGAAGGGAGGGGGGAGGAGGTTTCAGAAAGGTAACGGGACCTTCTCTCGTGTGACACCCCCCCCCCCAAAACCGCCACCCACCCATCCCCGCGGTGTATCACCCACCCACAGAGGATGTGGGATTGTACCTTCCCCCGAGACACTCCTCCTCCCATTTGTCTCTGTCTCTCTCTCTCCCTCTGTCCGTCTCTGTCTCTCTCCCACTGTCCATCTCTTTTTCTCCCTTGTCCCTCTCTCTCTGTCTCCCCCCACCCCCCCATTTATGTCTATCTCTCTCTCTCTCTCCATCTGCGACTCCCTCTGTCTCCCAGTCTCCCAATCCCTGTGTTCCCCCATCTTTGCTCCGTCTCTGGTCAAACTCCAGCCTGATGTCGGGAGGGAGGGAGAGTGAGTGAGCGTGCAGGGTGGTGGAGGTGGGACAGCAGATCGAGGGTCAGGGCCATGGAGACACACACAGTGCACTCTGACCTGAGGACGAAGGAACTCTGAGGGACTCACGCAAGGGGTTGGGAGGGGATTGGTGCAGTTTGGGAACAGTCCCCCACTGAGGTTTGGCTGCCTTCTCCCTCTCCCTCTCTCTCTCTCTCTGTCCTCCTGCTTACATTTTGGCTCTGCTTTCAGACTCAGTGACCCTCCCAGAGGTAGGAGAGACACTGCTCGTGTGTCCATTGCCAGAGTAAAGGCTGTGATAAACTCTATCACTGAGGACGGGAGCGAGAGGGGATGGGGTGGGGGTTTGGGAGAGACAGAGAGAGGGGGCAGTCCCACACACCGAACACAATCCTTACCACCCACCCCCCCCGCCCCCACCGTTCACGTGTCCATGGTTTGAGGTGCTCCTGCTGGGGTTCGCTGTGGAACGGTGATGCACACGGCTTCTTGTGAATAAATGACATTCCTGCTGGTTACGCACCATCTCCTCCTTCGGAGGGTCAGTGCTGAGGGAGCGCCGCACTGTCCGAGGGTCAGCGCTGAGGGAGCGCCGCACTGTCCGAGGGTCAGCGTTGAGGGAACGGGGCACTGTCGGAGGGTCAGCGCTGAGGGAGCGGGGCACTGTCGGAGGGTCAGTGCTGAGGGAGCGCCGCACTGTCGGAGGGTCAGCGCTGAGGGAGGGGGGCACTGTCGGAGGGTCAGCGCTGGGAGCCGTACGACAGAGACCAGGCCTCGGAGGCGAGAACAAAGTGAGGTTTCTCTTTATTGAGAGGGACAGGCAGATGGAGGTTCCTGTACAGATGTCCAATCCTACGCATCGCCATCTTGAACTGGACGCTCCATCGAGGTTGGGGAAACATTGAGTGGAGGCAGATGAGGGGGGGTTACCACCCAGCCTCCTGAGGGTCCCCAAACCAAAACGGGTCTCCAGCCGCCTCCAGAATGTGTGGGGAGCCCGCTCCACTATTCGACTACGGGGGTGGGGGGGGGGGCGGCAGTGGGGTGGGGTGGCGCGGTGCCGGGGTCAGGGTTGGAAATGGTAGATCTCCCCCTCTCCCAACACCGCCCACCTCAGTCGTCTTTCTCTACCTTCACCTCGATGTAAGGGTGAGGCCGGAGGTCTGTGGGGAGCTGCCCCAGGCCCAGGCCTGGGGCTGGGAACTCGCTGAGCTCGGAGGAAGGCAGGCGTTCGGAGGGTGGCCCCTGGACCCTGTTCGGTCGCAGGCCATGCTTGGAGCTGGCATCCAGGCGGTGGCACAGATCGCTGAGCTGGGCCGAGCGGAAACGCGGGGAGCGGGCCACCCATACGCCCGGCTCCAAGGGGCTGTCCTCCTCGTCCGACATCAGCTCCTCGGTCGCCGTCTCCCACAAACGCTGATCCTCATGGCCGAACAGCCGCACAATGGCCGACCGAGAGGCGAAGAGCTGTCAGGGGT